TTTTTTTAGCTCCCACCAATGAGTGAGAACATGTGGAATTTCTTTTTCTCTGCCTGACTCGTTTCACTCAATATTATTCTCTCAAGGTCCATCCATGTTGTTGCGAATGGCAGTATTTCATTCGTTTTTATAGCTGTGTAGTATTCCATTGTGTAGATATACCACATTTTCCGTATCCACTCATCCGATGATGGACATTTGGGTTGAAATTTGGCTTTTTAAAATCTAATTTGTGAAAGTAATACAAGCTTATTACAGATTTGGAAAATTATAGAAAGGAATGGACAGCAATCAGCAGTTCTATCAATTTTTTCCTACAGAAAATCACCCAGAGACAACCAGTACAGGCTAAATATCCTTTTAACCGAAATGCTTGGGACCAGAAGCATTTCGGACTTGGGGATTTTTTTCGGAATTTGGAATGTTTACACATATGTAATGAGATATCTTAGGGATGGGGCCCAATATCGCAGGCAGAGAGGGCTGGGAGGGTCTTTTTACCCTTGGAAATGCTGAATAAACAGTGTGTTGTGTACCTGCATTTTGACTGCAACCCATCACACATACATTTAAATGTGGGGTTATATCACATAACATGTTTTTTCCTATTTATTTCACAAAACGTTATATTGTGAGCATTTCTTCAGTGTCAACCAAAAGTTATTGAAAAACAAATTTTAATGCCTGCTTAACTATTCCACTTTGTGATTATTTCATGCTTTATGTTTTTTAATCAACCCCGCTGTGATGTTTTTTAATGCATAGATTGATAGCAAAGGGCTATTTTGTCTGGTACATATGGTGGTTATACTATATATATAACTAAATAGCTTGCATTTTTCATTTTATACTATAAATGTCATCAATGTTTTCATGTTAATGTGCCTTTTTCATAAGCATGAATTTTTATGGCTACCAATGAAATATCCCTTCATTTTCACTTTTAAGTGTCCCCACTGACGCGGCCTTCCGAAGAACAGATGCCTCTTGCTAAACGCTTCCTGTCTATTTCTCACCATTTCTCATCCTTGCATTGATTGGGTTGGTCCCTCGCTAAGCCCTGTTTATTCTGATATTCCCTTTGTTCCATTCACATGGAAATGGAAGCACCTGTGTATTCACACAAATCCTCACTCACATTGATTTTTACTTCTCTTATCTCTTATTTTCTCCCGTGTGTTGCTTTTCATTTTTTAACTCTCTTTCCTTAAAGTATAATTTCATTTTTCTTTACTTTATTGCTGTTTTGGGAGGAGGGGGGGGATCTCTTTTGGAAGTTCTTAATGAAAAGTAGGTTTTTTGCAGTGGAGGGAGAAAACAATGGCCATATTCTTAAAAAGGCCTCCTTTCTCTTGTATTTTTGACAACAGATGGATATCAGTATTGACAAATAGCAAAGAAGAGGCCCTAACCATGGCATTCCGTGGAGAGCAGAGCGCAGGCGAGAACAGTTTGGAAGATCTGACAAAAGCCATTATTGAGGATGTCCAGCGGCTCCCTGGGAATGACGTCTGCTGCGATTGTGGCTCATCAGGTATTTGCCCCCATATATTTGAATTGTCTTGTTAAACATTCTTTCTCTTCCTGTAGGCTATAAAATGAACTAGTGATTTAAAAGCTTTATCTCCTTTGGACACTTGTAGATACACACTGTCGGGTTAGGGCCATTGTCAGACTCCTGCCATCATAGCCAATTGTGTTATTAAAGCAATTCATAACTAAAGCCAAAATGTTTCATTATTTTAGTTATACTAAGTTTCCATTTGTATTGTCAGGGCTAGGGCTCAGACCCTTCAAACCCATTGTATAGACTGGGTCACAGACCCCTTACATGCCTGGCCGGGTCACCAAACCCTTCACATGCCAGGCTGGCTCACTAGACCCCTCACATGCAGGTCCATAAGCTAGGTAATTGGGAAAGATCCTGGGAGCCATTGGCAGACAACACGAGTTCAGTCCGCAGCAGCAGCAGCTTACAGCAGCGGCAGTGGCCTCTCAGGGCATCCTGGGGGCACTGGCAGCAACAGCCTCCAGCAGCTGTAGCAGCTCCCTGAGGGCATCCTAGGGGCGGAGGGCACTATGGATCGGAGTGGCTCGTCCTTTACACTTAACCCAGGACACCTGGGTGCACGTATGCAATTACATTAGACAACAGCCAAGGAACACCTGGGTACACGTGCATATTTACATCAAATGCTCAGCAAAATTTTGAACACCTGAGTGGTGCTGATGATTTTTTTCCTATATTTTCCCTACACACACCAACACATATTCCCAAAATGTATATTCCCACCACTGAGCTGCTCTTACCTACACTGTGTTCTCTACCTGGAAAGCTCCCATCTGTTTTCTTAAGTGGTCGCCTATCAAAATGTATCCTTTCCTGTAAGGCCCAGTTAAATAAGCAGATGGACATTATGGAGAGAGCAGGGGACATGGAGCCCATGTTTTGAATCACAAGTCTGCCACTTGCAGCCTGAGTGATCTAATGCCAAGTCCCTTCACTGTTATGAACTGCAGTTTCTTCATCCTAAAAATGGGATATGTTATGAGGACTTATTGAAATGGTGTAAATGAAATCTACTGACATGTGGTACATAACTTTCCTTCTTTCCTGCTAATGAAGCCCTCCTTAACCACTAACCACATCAAAGTTACCTTCTCCCAAACTTCTGTTTTCATATTTTTTAAAGCCTGTAACACCCAGTATTCCCAGGCAGTCTCCCATCCAAGTACTAACGATGCCCTACCCTGCTTGACTTCCAAGATCAGACCAAATTGGGTGCTTTCAGGATGGTATGGCTGTAGACTCAAACTTCTGTTTTCAAATAGCACTACAAATGGTCATCAGAAGGTTCGTGAAAAGAATCATATTATCTTTTAATTCCATTTTTCCACAAACTTTTTGAAGTACCCTCATGTATCACCTAGGTGTTGACAATAGCTAACATTTGTTGAGTGCTTCCACTGTACTCAGGATTGTGCTAGGTGTTTTGTTAATATTATCTCATTGAATCCTCACAGAAGCTCTGTGAACAGGGTATTAATATTATCCTCTTTTTACAGATGAGGAAACTGGGACTCAGAGATGTTGAGTGACTTATGCAGGATTACACAGCTAGTAGGGGTCAGAACGGGAATGTAAATCTAGTGTTCTTAAGCATCATGATGTACCTTCTTATTGTTTTACTTGTGAAACTGGACTTCTAGGCAAGATGCCATAAACACCTCAGAGAGGCGTCTCAGGTTTTGTACCATTTTCATGTACATGTGTGATAGTGACTCACACAGTGTGAGGAAATGGCAGAGGAGTCATAATACTCAGGTATTGACCAGTCAGAAAGGAGCTTGACACAGCGAGAACTCTGAAGATTTTGGTAACATAGAAATAATTGTTCCCACTGTTCTGGAGCCCTTGGAGGTTGTAGAAAAAAAGGCTTAGGTCACTGAAAGAAACACTTGGTGTTTAATAGTTATAGCTGTCTTATTAAAAAGAGGTGCTTATGGGCTGACCCCGTGGCTCACTCGGGAGAGTGCGGCACTGGGAGCGCCGAGGCTGCGGGTTCGGATCCTATATAGGGATGGCTGGTGCGCTCACTAGCTGAGCACGGTACAGACGACACCAAGCAAAGGGTTCCGATCCCCTTACCAGTCACAAAAACCAAAACAAAAAAGAGGTGCTTATGGAGAATCTATAACCAAGAATGATGGGTTAATGCTAGTTGTAACTTGGAGGTTAACGATAGCTGCAGAATCCAGTCTCTTGTGAGCAGTACTTAATAGGCTTTCAGTCCGTCGCTGTCAGAGATGATAGTGGCAGTGAGAGAACACCTCTCATCAGGCCTAAGGATGTTGCATAGGATCTCTTAGGAAAAACCATCCTTGGGTTTTCACAAGGGTGAAGTGTTTAATTTTGTCTTCAATTCAGTATCGAAGTGAAACTTTTATAATAGCTTCAAGGCTAAACTGCAAGCATCCATTTCTTCCAGTTAAGTCATTCTTTCATAATAATTCTTAACTACTATTGTTTTAGCCTCCTCTGTAGTTGGCACACTAAAATTAGATCTCTTGTTTGTTTCATTGTCTTCAAAATCCTTTCCACAGAACCCACCTGGCTTTCAACCAATTTGGGTATTTTGACCTGTATAGAATGTTCTGGCATCCATAGAGAAATGGGAGTTCATATTTCTCGTATTCAGTCTTTGGAACTAGACAAATTAGGAACTTCTGAACTCTTGGTAAGTAGTGATCTGTACTTTGGAAGAAAATTTTAAGTTTACTGTAATATATTGCTTTGTTTCTGCTGAGAGCAAAGTCTAATTCCTGAATTTTATGAATTTTCATAAATATTTAAAATGTAACTTTTTGTGTACTATTTCTATTTGCTGTTTGAAGAAATGGTGAATCATACATTTCTATAATTAGCCCATTGAAACTGGATCTTTTCCTTTGGGATAGGCTTCTTCAAAGCTGCATTTTTCTTTAGGAATTAGTTTTTTATATGATTTGCTATAATAGCAGTTAAACTCATATGTTTACGTTACCCTAGTGACTTACATTATTAAAAATAATAACTAAAGAGTTTTTCTCAATTTTATTTTTACCGTTTGTAAGTTTATAAACATACACATGAATTGGGAGTGGCTTGTTAATTATTGTCATAAAAACGGTTACTCCTTAACCCATAACTTCTTTGGATAGTAAGGGAAAAATTTATGTGAGGTTTCAGTGCTAAGCTTTATAATACGAAAAAGGGTTGTGAAAACTTAAACTTGTTTTTCTTTAACCTCTGCCCTTCCCATCATGATTCACCCAAATTTGTAGCCCTCATCAGGTCCACATTAAATTGGTCCCTGTGATACATCAAAAAAAAGAAAGGCCCACTTGGCATTCCCCATATGGCCTTGTGGTCATAAGCCCTGTTTTGCTTAATTATAATCCTGGTGCACTGAGAGAGGGTCTTTGTACTAAGAATGAAATTTTTTAAGGAAAACAGGATTCCTCAGACAGAATGCTCTCCCTTGAGTGTAACCTGAGTGAACCTGGGGCTCACCACAGGTAGAAGCCTACCTTATTACCAGCCTTGTCTGGAGAAAAGTATCAAAAAGTCAAGGCAGTTAGTCACCCAGCTAGGAGCCTTTGCCATCTTAACATCCATTAAGCAATGATGACCTGTCTTGTGTTGTATAAACCTTTTCATTCAGGAAGTAGGAAATTATGCTGATACTGAGCTTCCTAATTCACTTCAGGATTATAGAGAAAAGGATCAGACCTAGTACCTGAAACACATTCTTTAGTACAGAAATGGTTTCACTCTGTCTCCTTGACTTGTATTAATGAAGTCCAGTTTGGTGAGCAGAAATAGGAAAATCCAAATCGTGAATACATTCTGTGCAGTAAACGCTAGATTTTTTTCCCCTGAAGACCTGGTGCATGAATGTTTCTCAAACTTTGCATTGATCCCAAAATTACAGGAATGACTAAAGACCTTTTATGGCATATTTTCTTGGAATGGTCTTGAACCCAGAAGCAAAATGCTTTCTGCATCTTCCTCTGCTCTTGCCTGTAGCTTCTTAATCTGTACCCAAATATAAAAGTAATCCTACATTCTTTTCTGTCCACTAGGACTATATTTATTCAATATAAAAAGGAGACACGATGATGGTTGAAAAGCTATTGCTGCTCATTAAGAGTTTAACCTAGACTCACATATGGAGCCTGTGCTGTCTGATCTTAGATCATTTGTATGTGTCCAGGGCCAGATCCTATTATGTTCTACCATTTATCACGTTATATTGGTAGACATTGATTTTCTTGTCAGTGGTCCCACTAGACTATGAGCATCTGTAGGAATGGAACAGGTTTTCTCATCTCTGGCGCTCAAGGTTCGGTGCCTGGCACATAGTAGATGTTCAGTAAATATTTGAACAGATGGACAGATGATTTGTATTCTGAGTCATATGAGGGAAAATACATATTCAAAAGTCTCAATAGCAAATAAGAAACTTTTAACTCAGAGTTTGAGTAAGAGTTTGCTCTGTTGTGTTTTATTTATGTTACAGCTGGCCAAGAATGTAGGAAACAATAGTTTTAATGATATTATGGAAGCAAATTTACCCAGCCCTTCACCAAAACCCACCCCTTCAAGTGACATGTAAGTATTTCTAATATACTGAATTTTTTAATTGTTTTACTGCCCTTCCAAAAACCTTCTTAGTAGGTGCAGTATTTTTTTTTCCCAGAGGGAACCCCATTATCAGGGAAAAACAGAGCAAAGAAAAATATTTTGAAATACATTTCTGGGATACACAGGTTCTTTTCACCATTACCTTTCCCTGGGTAGTTGCAGCCGAGCACCCACTCTGTGGAGCATAGATCTTCATGAGGACAGTTATCTCTAAATCTTGACATGTTGTGATAAATAAGAGACATGCAAAGACGGTGGGAGATTCCTATCAGACTGGAAATGATGCAAATGCTTTACAACCAAATCAGGAAGACTATGGGGAAACAGACATTCTGTCTCATATGTTGCCAGTGAGAGTACAAAATGATACACTATGAAAAACAAATTAGCCATATTTACCAAAATTATGAATTTATTTACCCTTTGATTCAGTAATCCCACTTCTGGGAATTTTTTCCTCTACTGTAATAGAAAAAAATTAGGAACAAAGCAGGTGTCTGTCTGTAGGCATCTGATTAAATAGGCTATGGTATAGCCACACAAGGGAACACTATGCAGATATAAAAGAGAATGAAGCTTCCTATGTTCTGATTTGAGATGATCTCCAGGGTTGTTGTTAAATTTTTAAAAGCAAGATGCAGAGCACTGTACAAAATAGACTTCCTTTGGAGAAAAGGAAGGGGTTATGGGGAGTAGGGAAAAGTACACATCCCTCTTTATCCAGAGTGACTGTCCAAACTCAGGAATTGAATTTTATCTAATTTGCTGATGAATCTCTCACTTTTTAACTCTTCACTACTCACTACCTGGACTTAGAAACCAAACAGATTTCGATAGTAAAAAATGCATAAGCATATATATTTATTTGAACTCGTGTTTGTTTGAAAAAACACTGGAAAATACATAGGAATTGAATAAAAGACCTTATTCAGGGTAAGAGCTGGCTTGAGACTTGTCAACAAACACTTTTGTTATCATTTTCATTTTTGAGCCATGCGAATCTATTAATCTATTCAAAAAATTTTTAATTGAAATTACGTTTAAAAATTTTTAAGTGCTGTGGGTGAGTAAGAGGAAAGAGGTTAATTCCAACTTAAGTGATCAGGGAAGGCTTTGTGAAGGAGGAGGCTGTGAAGTAGACTCCAGCCTAAATGTTTTGCCAGCCCCTCTTGGTTCTCACTCAGGCACCAAATTTGCAGAGTACTGAAATTTTTATGGGCCACATTCAGTGAACATGTTTTTTTTTTCACTCTGAAATCACAAAATTAAGTCTCCCAGAAGGCCTCTAGGCAGTTGTCTTTTCTTACATTCAACAGATGCTTTCTGCATGACATTCAGTGAACATGTTTTTTTTTTCACTCTGAAATCACAAAATTAAGTCTCCCAGAAGGCTTCTAGGCAGTTGTCTTTTCTTACATTCAACAGATGCTTTCTGCATCCTTACTTATGCCTCATATTGTGTTAGATGCTGGGGAAACAGCAAACGAACTGCATATAAACCCTATCCTCAAGATACCTAGAGACTGGAAGGGAAGATAGACATTAACCAAGAAATTAAAGTTTATTATTTAATCATAGTTGTGGTAAGTGTCACAGAAGAAAAGCTTGGGATGTGGGGGCATGGTTAACACCCTAATCTAATCTGGGGACAGTCTTGCTTGACAACGATGTTTAAGTATTGTCCTACCACAGAAACTGCTTTGATGTCTTTTGAACACTAATGAGCACAAACTACACTGATAAATAAGGATTTTCAGAAGTTGATTTAATTATATAAAACTACCACTAACAAGTAAGATTTAACATTACTTTACCAACAAGATAACAGTAAGTGCTCAAGTACATACACAGTACATTCTTGCCCACACCAACATTTTTTAAATGTTTGCATGACCCGAACCTTGAAGGCATTGCTTTAGGATGAATTTTATAACAGCATGGATTTTTATTTCCTGTTTCTCACCTGGGAAGTAGCATCGGTACTGCCCCCTGTCAGCTCTGTGGCCTCATATAGTCATTTGGCCTCTGTAAGGCTTTCACCTGCAGAATGTTTGTGGTTCTCCAGAATCTCTAATGCAGTGGCTAAGGGCTTAGATTTTGGAGCCAGACTGCTGGAGTTCATATCCCAGCTCTGCCAGATTCTAAACTATGTGATCTTGGGCAAGTAACTTGAACTGTCTGTGTCTTGGTTTCCTCATCTGAAAAATGTATCCATCTCATAGGGTTGTGGTGAGGAGTAAGGGACTGAAATAAAAAGTGCTTGCAGCAGCACTTGGTATGTAGAAAGTACTGTATAAGTGTTTAGTTTTTGGCCAGCTGTCCAGAAGAATAAAATGAATCTTCTGTAACAGTTCACTCACTTATATATTCATTCAACAAATTCTTACTAAGTAAATTCTATGCTTCAGGCACTCTTTTAAGTGCTAAAGATACAGTAGCAAACAAAACAGAGTTTCTGTCCTGCTTGCAGTTTTGCTTGAGGAGAGGAAAACACAAAGGATAAAGTAAATAATATAATTTCTCACAGTTTAGGTGTTATGAAAAAAGTACAACAGGATGAGGGGTTGAAGTGTATGGAGAAGGGAAGGGTATTTTAGATAGGACAGTTAGAGCGGAGAGCTAAAGGACATGGGAAGGACAAATCTCGGGGAGAGTGGACCAGGCATCTGGAACAGTAACATAGGTGCCCTGGAGGTGGGGCGGGCTTAGCATATTCGAGCTATAATTTTTAAATTATAATTTTTATAATTTTTCTTTACATACTTAAATGTTTCTGAGTTTGACGTAGTAGATAGCAGATTTCTTATTCTATTGGTCAGGGTAGAAAAGAAATCTATGAACTACATGCCTGTTAATTTTGTTACTATATTACTTGCATGTACTAATAAATATGAGGGTCCTTCAAAAAGTTCGTGGAAAAAGAGAATTAAAAAATAATACGAATCTTTCCATGAACTTTTTGAAGTACCCTCGTATATTAGTTTCTTCTTTCTATTTCTATTGGAATAACTTGGTCTGAAACCTGGACCAAGGTTTCATTGGTATCTTAATTAAAATAATTCTCAAAGAGAAACATTTGTCAGAATAACTAAAGCCTTTCTTAGTCCTTGGAAAATAAAGATTCTTTATTTTATTTTGTTCTGTTTTAGGACTGTACGGAAAGAATATATCACTGCAAAGTATGTAGATCATAGGTTTTCAAGAAAGACCTGTTCATCTTCATCAGCTAAACTGAATGAATTGCTTGAAGCCATCAAATCCAGGGATTTACTTGCACTAATTCAAGTCTATGCAGAGGGGGTAGAGCTAATGGAACCACTGCTGGAATCTGGACAGGTAAGGCCTCACTAAAGTCACAGGAAAAGAAGTAAAGTGGAAAATCAATTTAAAAGACGAAATTTATTTTAACACCATATAATGAGACTCACACAATTGGGGGACCATGTCTAAAATCAAGAGAATTTGAGAGTGAAGAGGGATGTTCTTAATAATTACTTGGAGGCAACTGATGGAAATGAAGCTGCTTTAGTTAAATGGCATATGATCACCCTATTTATACTTATCCTCCTCTTTTTAGGAGCTTGGGGAAACAGCCCTTCATGTTGCAGTCCGAACTGCAGACCAGACATCTCTCCATTTGGTTGACTTCCTTGTACAAAACTGGTATCGTTTTTGTTTTCTCTGTTGAGTTTCCTGAGCATGCGTTATCAGTTAACACAAACCAGTTCTATCAGTGATCTAGATCAGGAATTGGCAGCCTTTTTCTGTAACAAGCCAGATAATAAATATTTTAGGCTTTGCAGGCCATAAGGTCTCTGTCACAGCTATTCAACTCTGCCATTATTGTGTGAAAGCAGTCATGGACAATACATAAACAAGTGAGTGTGGCTGTGTTTCAATAAAACTTTATTTACAAAAACAGGCAGCAGGCTAGATATGGCCTATAGGCTATAGTTTGCCAGCCTCTATCCTCAATAAATGTAAAATCCTGTCTCTGTGTCCAAAAATTTACTGCATTAGGAGAGGTTAAAAGAAGATGACTTGACATCACAGGTCAACCAGATTTGTGAGTTTTCATTGCTCATAGGTTCAATATAAGACAGCAGTATGTGTGTCTGGATCAATAGCTAATTCAAATTCGTAACATACTGATAGTATAATACTGAACATAAGAGGTTTGCACTTGCTGGATTCTTTCTTGGGCAGTTCTGTAAGCAAGAGATTACGAGGAGGTACTGGAGCTCTTCCAAAGGAGAATGTTCAAAATAGTGAGGAGATTTGAACCCACAAAGGGAGAATGGTGTGTGTACACAAGCCAGCTTGTGTAAATGTCCAGGCCTCTTCCTTAGAGGCAGTGCAGCATAGTTGTTAAGAGCTTGGCTCCAGAGCCAGACTGCCTGTGCTCAAATCCCTGCTTCAGTATCTTTATCTTGATAATCTTGAAAGCAAATACTTAAAATTGTGCCTTAGTTTTTTCATCTGTAAAACAAAGGTTATTAAAAATACCTACCTCGGGCCGGCCCGGTGGCGCACTGGATAAGTGCGCCGCTTGGGAAGCGCGGCGGCGCTCCCGCCCGAGGGTTCGGATCCCACATACAGACCGGTTCCCGCTCACTGGCTGAGCGAGGCGCGGGAGCAACACCGAGGGTTGCGGTCCCGTTGCCGGTCCCCGGTCCGGTACGGGGGCAACACTGAGGGTTGCGATCCGTTGCCGGACACGGAAAAAAGACAAAAGACAAAAAAAAAAAAAAAAAAAACCTACCTCTTAGGGGGGTTGTGAAGATTAAATGAGCTAATGCATGTAAAAGCTAAGAGACAGTGTCTGTCTCATAGTAGGCTCTCAATAAATGCTGGCTGTTATTATCATGTTGCTTATAAATTTAGATATAATGTTAGAAACATCATAATTTTCCCTGTTTATAGTAAGGTCTCAAATTTGACTTAGTTGTTAGCACAGAAATAAGTAGTTTAAAGTTACAGAGTAAGTCATTTTTTCTAATAATATTGTAATTTTTCAGTGGGAACCTGGATAAGCAGACAGCCCTGGGAAATACAGTCCTACATTACTGTAGTATGTACAATAAACCTGAGTGTTTGAAGCTTCTTCTCAGGAGCAAGCCCACTGTGGATATCGGTAAGACTGTGGCCAAGTGTCTCTTAGTGACCATAGTAAGACCATTTGTTTGGCTAGAACTGAGATTTGTATGTTACATTGTAATTTGATTATCATTCTTTGCCTTTTTAAGATATATTAAGGCAATTAAGATAATTATGCAAATTAACTTTTCCCCTGTTTTAGTTAACCAGGCTGGAGAAACTGCCTTGGACATAGCAAAGAGATTAAAAGCTACGCAGTGTGAAGATCTGGTAAGCAGAAATGGAACTGGGAGATTTATTAGACATCAACTGTCTTAAAATGTCATTCTGAGAAAATGGAATTGGAGATAAAAGAAGCAGATTCGTTTTTTGGATGTTGGTTAAAGAAATTCAGACAAGCATTATGCTATGTTTGAAAAAGTGGTAAAATGATAGATTTGTCATTCACATGTCTTTTGAGTGCAGTTATGAGATAGAAGCTGAAAGGCATTTGAGAGGTATTATTAACAGACAGGCTTGTGAATTGAGGTCATGCTTTTTATTTGCCAGACCGTTAGGCTTTCACTGCAGCTTAACAATAAATAATTATTTGGGAAGTCACTTCCAAAAATTGGACAAGTAAAGCTCAGAGTGTGATGGTTTTCAAAATGTTAAAAACACTGTTCTCCTAGCCCCTCTCCATCCTTCTGTATGCACTCACTTTTTTGACCTCCACTAGTTCTTATTAACTGTGGGCCTGTGCGTTAGCATGATTCTCTTAACCACGGGAAAGGACAAGATAGGAAAGAGAAGTTACATTCCCTTAAATTCCTGCTAAATGCCGGCAGGGTTCCATGCCTGCCGCTTGTATTTTTTAATAATTAAAGAATCTTTTGAGACAGTTATCCCTGCCCTCATTTTATGAATAAAAAAAGGAGACCACAGATAGGACTGGGACTGGGACTTTAAGGGCCTACCTCTTAGACTTCATAGACTTTGATTTTGCCTTCCAGCCAGGAATTTACAATTTTGAGGCTCATTTTAATAGTATTAAGAGGCTTTTAATTTTGGAGAGAAGCCAAGTTATCAAAATAAAGAAGGCTGTGCCTGTAATTCTTTGCAGTTCCTCTTAAGCCTGTCATGTAGCAATCCAACTTGTCTATTCAGAGTCTTGCCTACAGTACAGCTACTGATGATTTATTTCAAGCAGGAATAAGGTGGGATTTGCTTAGTGTTTGTTCAATATTGGGGTGTTTTGGTGTTTAAATTAAAATGGTATACATTTGCCATTCCAGCTTTCCCAGGCTAAATCTGGAAAGTTCAATCCACATGTTCATGTAGAATATGAGTGGAATCTTCGACAGGAGGAGATGGATGAAAGCGACGATGATCTGGATGACAAAGTGAGTATGAATGCGCTTGAATTCCTCGGCACTTCTCCCAGTTTTTCTGCTCTGTATAGACAAGATCCATTTTTTGTGAGATAGGTTGTTTTTGATATTTTGACCTGATGCACCAGGGCCATTTTCATTGCTCAGTCTTTGGTCCTTGTTAGGCACCACCCAACAACTGTATTAATCAGGAATCTCTAAAGAAACAGAACCAATAAGATACAAAGAGAGAAAGAGAAATTTATTTTAAGGAATTGGCTTACATGATTGTGGGGGGCTCACAAGTCCAAAATCTACAGGGCAGGCCAGCAGTCTGGAAATACCAGCAGAAGTTGATGTCACACTCTTGAAGCGAAAAGCAGTCTGGAAGCAGAATTCCTTCTTCTTCAGGGGACCTTGGTGTTTTCTCTTATGCTGTTAAACTGATTGGGTGAGGCCCACCCACACTATGGAGGGTAATCTCCTTTACTCAAAATCTATTGATGTAAATGGTAATCACATCTAAAAAAAATACCTTTACAGCAATATCAGACTGGTGTTTGACCAAACACGGGAACACCATAGCCTAGCCAAGTTGACACATAAAATTAACTTCCAAAAGAGCTAATTAATAAATAATAATAATTGTCATTTGTAAAGTACTTAAATATGAACTAGGCAGTGTTAAGCCTTTATGTTATCTCAGATCATCTTTACCAAAAGCCCATAAGGGACAATGTTATTGTCCCCTTGACAGGAGAGAAAACATACAGAGAATTTAGCAACTTGTCTGAAGTCTCATAGCTAGTAAAGACAGTCTCAGGGATTAAACTCAGTTCTCTTTGACTCTCTCGTAGGTAGTTCTTAACTACCTCTGAAAGTTCATTCGTGTATTTATTCATCAGATATGTTTTGGGTGTTTCCTCTGTGCTGGGCAGGATATAAGGAATGGCTACACAAAGAGGTCCTAAAGGTATTCACCACTTCGAGGAGATAAATTGTAATACAGCGTGATAACTATGATAACAAGAGTTTAGGAAAATTCCTGAGAACTATTCAGAGGATTAAGCAGCTGCTTAAGCCCTAGCATGCAGTGAAGACTGTATTAGCTTGCCAGGCAAAGAAGCGGGGAAGAATGCATTATTGCAGAGAAGGGAGAACAGCATGTCCAAGGCAAGGGGTGACAATAGAGCCCAAATGTCTGAGGGATGGTGACAGGCACCTTGTGTGAGCTGCGTTCACCTGGCTAGGTCGGGAGAGGCCGGCAGGAGGCCGCCCTTCTGGCCTTTTGGCTTTTATGCAAGCAGTCAGAAGCCAGCAGAAGTTCACTGTCAGAAGAGCAAAGTTTCCTACCAGCTCTGGCTGCAGTGTGGGACTGGAGGAAAGAAACTAGAGTCAGAGGTCATTCAGGAGGCCAGTGCTGCAGTGGGATCTGGTGAGCGCCTACACTAGGAATGGCTTTAGGGACATTTCTGAGGTATCTCTGCAGGACCTGGCCACTCCAAATGACACTGGCGTTTCTACTTGGGCAGTTAAGTAGGTGCTAATGCCATTATCACGAATGCAAACACCAGAGACCCCTCACAGGCAATTGAAGATAGTTTGGAATCCAAGAAGCTGGGATTGGATTTACAGATCTGTGAATCAAAGTGTCCTGCACAAGGAAAGTATTTATTAAATAAAGGTTAAATCTAAGTGTGACCTTACACTATGCTTCTGAATACTGCTGCTGATCCCTAACCAGTGTTTCACTAGTGTGATTGCTAATAGTGGCATGAGAAGTAGAGGTATAATGTCATGATCCTTCCTTCATACCATGTCATCTCCATGCAGCTCTCATCATAGCTGACCTCATAAAGCACAGAGAGCCACAGGAGCCCAGATCTGAGCCTGCCCTGCAGAGGTTCTCTATAAGCCTAAAGGGTGTTCCTGGATTATTATCTCACCCCCTGTTATTTCTCTGCCAGCCGAGCCCAATCAAGAAAGAGCGCTCTCCCAGACCTCAGAGTTTCTGCCACTCTTCCAGCATCTCCCCCCAGGACAAGTTGGCACTGCCAGGATTCAGCACTCCAAGGGACAAACAGCGGCTCTCTTACGGAGCCTTCACCAACCAGATCTTTGCCTCCACAAGCACAGACTCGCCAACTTCACCAACCACAGAGGCTCCACCTCTGCCTCCTAGAAACACCGGGAAAGGTACGGACTTTGAGAAGGGCTCTGTGACTCCATCCTCAGAGCTGGTAGTCTGCCCAGTTTTGAGGTAAGAATTGCAAAGTACATTTGAGTGGCAAAGCATGAAATGTGTTGTCAGGGGCAGCTTGAAATAGGGACCTTGCCGTCTGCCAGGCACCAGTAGCAGGATAGGCAATGTTGTGCTCTTCATGCATTATCTTGTGTTAACCTCACAACAATCCTGTGAGGCATGTGCTTTTGTGCCCATTTTACAGAAGAGGAAACTAAGGCTCAAAGACGTAGAGTGACTTGCCCAAGATCACACAGCCAGTAAGTGGTAGCGTTGAGATTCAATCCGAGGTCTTTGGCTCCAGACCTGTGCTCTTTATAATGTGGGGCGGAATTTCAGTTATTCTTTGAGAAGTTACTTTTTCTACACTAAAATGCCTCTCTTGAAGATACTAGTAGGAATAGTGTTACTTAATAGTTGTGAAGCACTTGCCTTCACACACGCCCTTCACACATTTGCCTTATGAGAGGCCTTTAAGCCAAGCACTACTCATTTAATGATCTCAGAATGAGGTAGATACTACTTTTATTGGCATCGTGCAGACAAGGGGACTGTGGTTCAGAGATGCTGAGAAATTGATCCAGGTACTATATGACCATAGCCCATACTCCTGTACTCTCTGATGAGCATTATTTTACTGTAAGACACTATCTGAGGAGGAACCTTACTCAGAAGAGGGCTATTATGATATGTGTTGTCAAATCCTGCCTCTATAGGGCTGGCACATTGGGCTAATGGTCTAGTGCCCTGTTCTTTAGCAAAAAAGTGCTTGTCCTGTATCTCATATCCACAGAGTATGCCCAGCTCAGAAAGCTAGTGTGTTCCCACCTGTATGGGGATAAGTTGAAGTACATAAATACCAACACTGAAGGGTCACCACAGCCAGAAGAATAATTGAGAGGTACCCAGAGCTATAGCCTTGAGCTTGATCTCTGCCAGTAAATCCAAATGCAGGATTCTCCCTATGTGCTCAGCTCATGCTCCCACAGGTTTCAAGGGCCTCTTAGTATACAATGCCATGCCTATTTGAATCACACTGGGGCTATTTTCTGAGAAATGTGAGCTTTATTCAAACGGTGTTTTTTCAGAGCTTATTCTCCATTGAAATAGTGTTATAAATGGGAGCTGTGTTCTTAGACCCCAAATGGCCTAATAGATCATAAAATGTGGAGAAGAGTTAAAATAAGGCTTTGGAATGAACAGTTCTCATCAAAGATAACCAGTAGCCATAACAGTAATAATGCATGTAAGCCAAAGGTTTAACCCATGAGTGTTTTCTTACCATTCCATACATTGTACTAGAATGTACATTTTTATCAGCACCACGCTGTAACCAGCTGACCTAACTAGCTGCACTAGAACGTGCATTTTTAAATCACTTAACATATCAAGCTGCAGATCTGTATTGTAATAGTAACCGTGTTGCTGCTTCCCTATAGGTAATAGTATTCCCTATCAGGGTAGTAATTTGATAAGAGCAGAGATTGTGTTTCTGCACCTTAAAGAGGACCATGAGAAACCTTTGGACTAGGGCCGGCCCGTGGCTCACTCAGGAGAGTGCGGTGCTGATAACACCAAGGCCCCAGGTTCGGATCCCACATAGGGATGGCTGGTTCGCTCACTGGCTGAGCGTGGTGCTGACAACACCAAGTCAAGGGTTAAGATCCCCTTACCGGTCATCTTTTAAAAAAAAAAAAAGAAAGAAACCTTTGGACTAAATAAAATAGTGGGATAAATGACTCTGAAGATTTCATATCTCCTAATTGTAATTACTGACCAAGTCAAGGGTTAAGATCCCCTTACCGGTCATCTTTTTAAAAAAAAAAAAAAGAAAGAAACCTTTGGACTAAATAAAATAGTGGAATAAATGACTCTGAAGATTTCATATCTCCTAATTGTAATTACTGATGTACCAGTGATGACCTATCTAGTCAGGAAAGGCCTAACCTGTTCAGAGAGCATCCAGGTCATTGAGAATCTCGAATATGGTCTACAGGGGGCCAAGAAGCCCCCTCACCTCCCTTCACCCCCTTCTGTAAGTTTATCTCAAGAGGACACAGAAACCCATAAAATAGACTATCTGACTCAATGCCAAGCCTATCTTTTCTGCCTTGAATAAATTCTAAGTAGCTCATTACCAAAGACCCAGAAGACAAAGACTAAATTTATTTAGTGATCCAGCTGCTGAAACAAGTCCTTAGAGACTTGGCCATAGCAACTGTGGTCAACTAAGGATAGACTGCTTACCCCACCCCCCAACCTCCCCAAAATGCCCATAATTGAAAATAGAAACTTCTCCCTACAAAATCAGAGTGTTCTTCCTGACCGTTCATAGCATGACATCACATTTGGAGATTTGGCCTGTCTGCTGGTGAGATGTAAGGAGCATAGCCTTCTCATGACTTTTATAAGGGATTTGGAATGTGCCCTATATCCTGTAGCTAGTTCAGCTCACATGCCCTTTACATTTGGAAAACTGATAATGTTTAGAATGGAGTTCTCAGAAGACATTGTCAAAGATGAGCTGATGCTCTGTTTACAGAGATAATTCTCCTCTGTTTTGGGACCCCTACTTTTGTTCATTTCATTTTGTTGAACTGATAGAACCATTTGCATGGAAACAAGGGTGTCTTGAGTCTGTCATTCGGGTTGCTCATTCTCCATGGCTAGTAAAGCAGAGGTCTCTATTTGCAGCAGAAGTCATTTTCACAACTGGATTTAGGGGTCTGAAGAATGATGGTTTCTGGTGAGGCAGAAACAGACACTCATGATAAAGGCCCCACAAATAAGAGGAATACAAAGAGGAAGAGCAGAAAGAATTTTTCTGAATCTAGCTCAGGAATATTTTCAAGAAACTCCAGCTGCCTCATCAAAATTCAAGGGAGTTTGACCTAAATTACCATCAAGCAAAGCCCTCTTGTGCTTGAGCAAGGCTCCAGTCAGAGTCTCAGAACTCAGTGATTCAGAAACCCACATTCACCATCCTTAAGCCTCATACCGAAACATTTTGTTGCTTAACCCCTCTTCAGATGTGAGGTCCAGAGAGATTAAATCAAAGTTATAAAATTAACAAGTATGTGGAAGTTTCTCATTCATGATCAGTTTCACCACTCTATTGTATGTTTATTAAAACTAGAAGTTCTTTGGGCTTGCCAAGATTAGCTTGTTTTTAATCTTTAAGTTAAAATAATATCATAGAACCTGGATTTTTTTAAAAGCTAGAAGGATGTTGAAAGATTAGCACAATCTGTAACCCATTGTTCAGATAAGGAAACCAGGTCCCAGAAACATTAAGGAACTTTCTTCAAGTCACATGGTGGCTGAAATGGAATAGAAAATTAAAATGGGCCTTAGTATTTGTCAGACCTGATCTTTTAGTTGCTGCTTTTCCGTGTCCAGGAAGATGGTCCATCTCTGTCTTGCCTGCCTCATGGAATTGCCATCAGAATGCAATGAGACAGTATGTAGAGAAAGCATTTTGTAAATTGCAAAGCTCTGCACTGCTGTAAGAGACTTCTATTAGGATTGTTAGACTCTGTAGATGTTTCTAGAATATGGAGGAATGTGGTAGAAAACACAATGCCACAATACCCATCCCACAGAACAGGTATTTGAAAATAGAATGTTTTTAAATAATTTTAAGCTATAGAACTATGGCTTTCTCCCATTGCAAAATTTCATACTTCCTATATGGCAATGACAAAAACCTATACCTGACATAGAGTCACTACCTCAGATGAAATTGTTGTGGATAATAAATGAGAAGTATATGAAGCACTTAGCTCAGCACCTGGCACATAGTGCTCCGTAGAGGATACCACTGCTGGCACTGATGCCACTCAACTTCTCATCCTTTAAAAGAGAGTCCTTTAGGGAATAGGGACTAGAGTGAAGTCACCCAACTCTACTAAGTTAACAGGTGCTCTGAATAGCGAGACCCAGCACTTGGTGGGCATCCTAACTCAAAGAAAGGATTTGTTAAGTAAATGAATGATAAATCCAATCTCAAGAAGCTTGTTTAACAAGTTCAAGCTTTTAGAAACACAAACAACTGATACCCTCATTATTTCATTCCCATGTATTTATGAAATCAGGCCCCTAGAATCAGGTATATGCAGCCCCTCTGAGTAGCATATGAATACCTGTAAGTATTAATCCTGCATTTTATACACATTTGCTATAATGTAGACTTCCTGTCTCCAACAGACTCTAACCTTGGGCTGATAAACTAGCAGATTATCTACATAAAAGCAGCACAGTACCTGGCATACTGAGGGCCTCAATAGATGCTTGTTGAAGGTTCAGTGCCACAGAGTATATCAAACCAGATGCTTCAGTTTAGGTGAAGACACTAAATACCCTCATTAAGCAAAGAATATAGTTCAAGACTAACAAACTATCTAAGGCAGATAAATCTGTGTCAAGCTAGACCATAGCTACCTGGGCAGCTGTGAATTCCTGTGAATCCTTTCAGACTTTACTTTCTCCTCTTTCAAGAAGACCTCTTTCCCTTGTCCCACAAAAGAGACTGTGGTTCCTTTCCCATAAGGCCAATCCTATTTTTAGTCTTTAGCCCCTGTACTTGTACCATCACAAAATTTAGCTGATCTTGCAGAGTTTCAGGGTCTTCAACAGAAAAATAAGGACTGGTCACTGCTTAGAGAAAATGAAATAATGCCTATGAAGTGACTAGCACTTAAATGTGAATTTGTTTGATCCTACTGCATGCGTGCAGTTCAACAAATATTGTAGGCACTGAAATAATGCCTATACAGTGAGCACTTAAATGTGAATTTGTTTGATCCTACTGCATGCATGAAGTTCAACAAATATTGTAGGCACTAGGAACATTGAGAAGAGTAGAGAAGTAGCTCTTGCTCACACACACAGCTGGTACTCCAGGAGAGAAAACAGTGAAATGTGCCATTGGATCCAGTAGGGGGTGCTGCTGGCA